ACTGGGGAAACAAGATACATACATAGTTATCAACTAAAAGTCAAATGATGGGGAAGAGATTCACTATTGACAAGTTCAGGAAGAGGAGAGAGAAGAACAAGCTGATCTGGTCAGAGGAGGCTTTGCAGAGGAAGTGGGACTTGAGTAGAATCTCAAATTATTTAGGATAGACTGGAAGGAAAGAAGCAGAACTTCTGGGTAACATAGACTTACCTACAAGAAGACAGAGACTTGCATGAGCTGACAAGTTCCTGGGATAATAAGGACACCAGCACCTTATAAGAGTGTTTAACCTCTTTTTGCCTCCTAATTGTAAAATGGGGATGCAGAAGAGCGTCCCAATGGTGGAAATCCATCTGTCTATTTATCTGTCCATCTAGCTACCCATCAACCCATCCATCCATCCATCCATTCATCCACCCATCCATTCATCCATCCATCCATCCATTTATCCATCCATCCATCCATCCATGCAACATTGCCAAGCCCAGTTATAGGTACAGAGGATATGAAGGTGAATAAGAGAACCTTAGTCATTCTGTAGTCCTCTTCACAATTTCCTGGGATGGGAGGTATTTTTCAGCTCCTCTCTTTGACTCTGGGCTCTTATAAATCCCATGTGTGGGTAGGGCAGCCATGACACCTTGTATCTGCTTATAGTTGGACTGACCAGCTGTATAGTTTGTATTCAGCAACTAATTCTGGCCCAGCAAATGAAGACCAGATAAAGAGATCCACTGAGCATCATCTAAATGTCAGTTACTTTACTAGGCATTCGATGTTCACCTTTCTTATTAAATCTAATACAGAAGGCATTTTTAGCCCTCTTTAATAGATAGGAGAACACAGACTTGGAGAGAGTAAGCAATCTGACCAAGGACATTCCATAGTCAGTGCTGGGACTGGTATTTAAAACCAAGTGGGTCTAGCTCCAAGTGGGTCTAGTTCACAGGCTATTTCCTGTGAACCCTGTGGTCCCAGAAGCCCACTGTTGCTAGGTTCAGGGCACGCACAGGCACTTTGCTTCCTTAAGGTGACTAGAGGTGTTTGGCTCTGCTTTCCTATATAGCTATGATGCTTGTGACCTACCATCAGGAGAAATTGTCTCATGTTTGGTTGCATTTCCCCTGAATGTGAGCCTCCTGCAGACGGAGACTGGTGTGCCCAATTCTGTGCCACCACCACCCTGTGCCCCTTGCCCCTACCAGAGACAGTGGTACTTTGCTGGTCAGGGCATATTCTCCAATGTGTATTAATTTCAGTTGCATTTATCAATGGTGGAGTTGCATTTTCATGAACCCATTCTCATTCTCAGGCTATCTTCACTGTGATCAGCAACTTGTTTGTAAGATGCACGTGCATGGGGCTGTGGAGCAGCAGGGAGTCCTAGGCTGTGGGCAAGGCTTGTAAGCCCCTGGAGGAATGAACCTCTGGCTTCATTTGGGTCTCCTGGTTGTCCACAGACTTCACCTGTGGGTGAAGGGCATAAATTGTCAGCCCATATTTGTCAGCCCAGAGTGTTTCCTGTTTATCTCCCTTGCTGGAACCCAGGGCACAGTAGACTCCTGTGTTCAGCATCCTTCTTGGTAGGCAGGAGACTTCCTCAGCGGATCCGACTTCCTGGGAGTGCACAAAACATGTGTCCTAGTGTCTCCATGGACGTGGATGGCTGCTTTTAGGTATGCATCATTACAATCATTGTTTAATATTCCAATGGAGCCACCAATTCAATTATTGCTTGTATTTTTCTAAGTGTAGCCGCACATTCTTTAGCCTTTCAGTAGAGGCACTTATCTCATGGGGCTTAAAGAGATTCAGAATATATGTAGTGTCAGTAACAGGGTCAACCTGGGGGGTGTCTACCTATTAACCTTCCATTTTGGCAACCAAATAGCCATACCCAACACATAAGGTGGGCTCTGGAACCTGTCTATTAATATTGTAACTGTTACAAGGTGACTGGGTTCATCTAAGCTATTTCAATAACAATATCTATCACTGTTGCTGAATCATAGAAGCAGCCAAATAAGATGCGAAGACTGGGGACCTGTTAGGATTGGGAAGCAGAGGGGATGGGAGAGGGGTTAGGGTCAAAAGTGCATGTAGTGGAAAGAGTTCCAGGCTAAGGAGAGTGGGTTAAAGGGCTCTGGGAAAAGCCTCTTGCATTTATGTTGTGCATTCATTCCAGCACACATCACTCATTCATCCAACAAGCATTTATTTGATTCTTAGGATGTTCTAACCCAATTTTAGGGATTGTGCAGGGACATAAAAGGAACAATATTGCTCAATCTGCAAGTCTAGTTGGACAAGAACACAAACAGTCATAACACAAGGGAGAACGCGCTAAGTGTCCCCGTTAAGAGCAGCATGCACTGGAGCGTGGGGAGGGTTCCGGGAAGGGACCAATTGCTTCAGCAAGAGGAAATCATAGAAGACTTTTCAGAGGATGCTAAGGAAAGTTGTTTGCCTTGAAGCGCAACTAAAAGTGCTCTAAAAATAGAGGGTATTATATTTTATCTTCCCTGTTCACAAAAATGGTCATAACACCATCCCTAATTGGAGTTGATTCTACCCTTTATGCCAGAAGCACTGACCTTGGTAACTCTGGCAAATATCCCAAACACACACACACACACACACACACACACACACACACGCACGCACACACACCTCTGGATGAGGAAAGGGCTGTTCATGTGAAGATACACCCCTCAGAGGATGTGGCCTCCGGGGTCAGGCTTGGCAGATAGTCCCGAGCTCTGAGACCATAGTACCTCCGTTCCTCGACCTTCCAGGCTCTAGCCATGGCCAGCTGTGCCTCAGAGTCAGGTTGTTTGGCCATCAGAGAAAGTGAGGCAGGAGATGACCACTCAGCTGTGTCTCTGTTTTTCCGATGAGAAGACAAAGGCACAGAGAAGTGAAGGAGCTTATCTGGGATGTTGTGATTTGAACCAGTTTCAGGTTTTAACAAACTTTTTTTGTTGTTTTTATTCCAAAGTCCAGCAAAAGATCGGCCAGGCCAATCTTTAAAATCCTGAAACTGGATTTTGAAACCCCCTCCCTGAAATGTTCAGTCCTTCTCCTCCTTCAGCTGCTGTGGGTCCTTTCCATGAGCCATCCCAGCCCCCATTGACACCCAGCCACTGGCACACAGTAGGGAAGGAAGTCACCGTGCTCCCCTCCCCAGTTTAGGGTGCCATTTATACCCGTCCCGCCATGTGCCCACCCCTTGCAGCTCTTGTCATGGGCCATAGCTATGTGATTTGTGTGTGATTGTCGACAGCATCTGTATCCTCTGCTAATTGGAAAGTTCTGTGAGGGTTCTCTGTTTCCCCAGCACAACTGAATGAAAAGGAGTGTCTCCTGGTCAGCAACTTTTAGGCCTCTCCATACAGAAATCCTGCCCCAGAAGCCTATCTCTGCTTGTCTGGGGAGAATCCTACCAGAGAATGGGTGATGTAGGATCAACCCTTCTCACTGCCGGAGAGATGGGCCCTAGCATGTACCCTACTAATCCAGAAGGGCCCACCTGGATGGTGGGAGCTGGGTAGGAAAGAGGCAGGGGAAGTGGAGGAAGCCAGGGAGAAGGGGGCCTGGGGTATGGCAGTGTGCCAGACTGATGGCAGAGGGCAAAGCATCCTGCAGAGGGTTGGGCTAGGGTGACCGTGTGCTAAAATTAGGAAAGGCCCCAGGGAATCTGGAGGGTGGCCGCACTAAGACAGGAATGATTCAGTACGACTCAATTCCAGAAATCCACACAAAACGCTTCCTTGGGTGACTTTAAATTACATGCTTCTGTTGTTAGTTTTTCTGAGAATGTGATTTAGCTCCAACGGCTTTTTTAGAGCAGGGCCTGTTTTATTAAACTAAAAAGGTCGTACTGGCTCCTGTTATGTACCAGACATTGGCTTTCCATGCATGTCATCTTTTTAATCTTCACAACTGCTTGAGTAAGTAATATCCCATTTTTCAGATGAGGAAACTAAGGCTCAGAGGGGTTAAATAGGATCCCAAGGGGCTGGGATTTGAACACATTTTGTCAGACTCCAAGACCTACCAAAGGGTCCAGGACAGGGCTAGCTGGGTGAGAATATGCTATCAATTCATGCTTATCAGCAACACACATCTCTCCACTGTCACCCCAAATCTGTCCTCGGTAATAAGTCTTGCACAAACTTGCCAGGGGTGGCCTGGCTAGAGCAGGTCCCCTGGCTGGGGTGTACTCTGTGGGGTTGCTCTCAGTGCTGTGCCAGCTAGGGTCCATGCCAGCCTTCAGTTCAGGGGGTGCCAAGACCCTCAAGGAAGGTCCTCGCTGGCTTCTAGTTCTGCTTGGCCAGCCTTTCCAAGGGCTCCCCATTCATCAGTCTCTCACTTCCAGAAGATGCATTTGGCAGCTGTTTCTCCCTAGGTGGGTTGGGGTAACAGGGAGGGTAGATGTGAAGGGTGGGGCTCATGCCAAAATGCCCAACTGGGCTGCTCTGGCTGAGGTTACTTACAGAGCAACCTCTGAAAAATATCAGATCTGAAATATATCACTCCTAGGGGAGGACTGGGACTCTTTGGACCCTGGGGAGGCACATATCTGGGCTCAGGGGCAGGATCTGGGCAACCCCTTCCCAGAAGGGAAAACCTTTGAAAACAAGATTTTAGCTCATGGAACCATGGCTGTTACCACCGGAAGAGACCTCAGTTCCCTGCTCTGTGGTAAGGGACCATCATTCCATTTCACAGATGAGCCCACTGAGCCTACTGAGGTAGGAAGGCCAGACCATCCTGACTTCAGGGAATTGAGGAAAATGTGCAGCTTCAAGGGCCCCTTCTGGGCTAGTGGCAAGAGCACTGGACAGAGTCATTGAGAATGAGCCCCGTTTATTCATTAAATTGCCTGGGTTTGTGTCCTAGTAGGATTTGGAGGCAGATTCACTGTAAAATATGAATGGTTCCAATGGATTATTCTCACTCTTTCTGTAAATAAAAAATATATGCCAAATAACCACATCAGTCCCAGTTGTTTGATGGCCTCTCTCCTGATACTTAATTTTATTTCATGACATAAAATAAGGAGGGCAGTGAGGTGGGGGGAAGCGGACTTTTGTCAAAGAATAGTCTCATTGGTTAACACCTGAGGGGAAATGACTGAAAAGAACTTAATTCAGAAAATGCTTTAGGCACACAGGAGCTTCTTCCAACCAGTAAGAGTCAGACAGCTATGGAGAGAAAAACATCAATAAATAATCAGCCGGCTTAGACTTTTAAATGGGAATCCCAGCCTCAGCACCCAACGGTAAATTGCATCTTTTCCACCAGCCTCCAAGCAGGGCTTCATGCTTGTGTGGACTGGGAAACTTTGCTTGTTGCAAATGTAGCCTGACCTTTCTTTCTAATAGGGTAGATATATCCTATTCATACATACCCTATATATATATCCCACATGTCCCCTTTCATACATATCTACGGAGAGAGGAAAAGTGTCCATCCTTAGAAACCCCGAATAGCACTTTTGTCATCTGGTTTCACTGTGCTTTTGGTTTAAGGCACAAGTCTCCTGCGCAAACGTCACCTCTTGTAAACAGCTAGGGTGGAGTGGGCTCTGGAGCAGGGGGATGGGGGTGGTCAGATCCTGCCATTGAGCCCAGATATGTGCCTCCCCAGGGTCCAAAGAGTCCCAGTTCTCCTTTAGGAGTGATGAATTTCAAATCTGATTAAGAATATTGTTCTGACCCTGCCCAGAATAACCCAGCCTCTCCTGAACTTGATTTCACTGCCAGGGATATGGATTTGTCAGTGTGACAAGGGAGCAGACCCCTTCCTGGGTGGGATTTGAGCCCCACCTTCTGCTCCCTGCCCAGGGCCCACTGTTGCCCAGGGACTTGGTTGGCCAGGAGGTCTCTGGCCATCAATCACTGTCCACCAGTGTTTTATGAGGCCACTTCTGAACCAAAGAGCCAGCAAGGGGGTTTATGGAGCTGGCTCTTTCTGCCACAAACACTGTTTCTTATTGCTTGTCATTTTCTCCCAGACTGTCAACACCTCATCCCTCTAAAAGCAAACTGGTCTTTGGGGTCTTCCTTGTGGACAGGAAAAAGAATTCCGTGAGCAAAGGCTGTTTCTCTGCCTGCAGAGAGCACTGTGCTGCCTGGAATTTGGAAACAATGGCAGCCCTGCATTCTTTTTCCTTGGCCTTTCGGTGTTGGGGTGGGTGACTCCTCCCTGTGAATGAGGATCCCCATCTCAAAGCAGAAAAAAGGGCCCAGAGGGGGATAATGGGAGGTTTCTCAGGGGCTCTCTTTCATGACTGGTATGGTGAGAGAGCCCAGTGTTCTCAGCCCATGGGCCTGCCAGGAAAGGGAGTCAGGAGCCCAGGGGTCTGCCTGCCCTAGTTCACTGGCTAGTCAGAATTGAGATGTGCAGCAAAGGTAAAATACGTATGGAGTTTCCAAGACTTAGTGCAAAAAACAGTAAAATAATAATTTTAAAATGTTGATTACATGTTGAAATGACAGCAAGTTGGATATATTGGGTTAAATAAAATACGGTATTAAAATAAATCTCATCTGTTTTGTTTTGCCTTTTAAAATGGAGGTACAAAGAAAATTTAAGATTATACACGGCTCAAATTATATTTCTATTGAACACCATATGGGCCCTTTCATTATTCAAGAGGAGACACCAAACTAAGATCAATGTTTCTACCTTGTCATTCTATCATATTTTTCATGATGAAATACAAAAAGTATATATAACATATAGTGAAATTTAAAATATAGTGAAATGATCACCTTGCACCATCCAGTTTAAGCAACACAAAACCCAACATGTTTGAAGGATTGTGTTCCCCTCTCTGACACACCTCTCTCCATCCCTGATCAGAGGCAGTTGCCATCTGAATTTGCCCTGATCTTATTGAATTATCATTTATAATTCGATAAATTATAGCAATTCAGAAAGTACCAAGAATCCATAACAAACACCTACGTACAATCATATAGCATTGATTCACTGTTAACAAGTTGTCCTGTTTGTTTCTCATTAAATAAAGTAACAAGGGCATTACAGATAAAGCTGGAGCTGTCTTTTAATTGCCAGCCAGCTCACTCCACTCCCAGGTGCTCAATTGTATTTCTGCAGCAAGGTATTAGTCTATCCTCAAATAACAAACATAAGGTCAGCCACTCACCCGGCACCAGGCTCCAAAGGGTACAGCAGAGATTCTCATGAACACATACCTCCAAGAAAAAAATCAGCAGATATAAAAAGTAGCTGCAATCTGGCATGGCCCAATTACTTTATGGAATCATTGACTTTAGTTGTGGAAAGGCCATCAGAAATCAGTTACAATGGAGGTCAGAGAGGCTGAGTGAGTGATATGAAGTCACCAGCCAAGTATGTCAGAGCCTGGACTGCACCTGGCTCTCCCATCAAGCACTGATTTCAAGGTGATCTCAGTTGCCACCCGTGTGAATCATCTGAATCATGACACGCTTCACACTAGACTTTCCTGAATGAGTGAGTGGAACTGGGGACCGAGCTTCCTAGGAGTAGAAGGTAAAGCAGAAAACCCTTTCAGTTTGTTCAGAAACATTTTTCAAATATCTGGGTCCACTTCCCTTGGCAGGCAGTCCCTACTGCTTGATATTGCACATCTTTCTTGGCTATCAATGGACCTTCTAGTCATTTCTCTGAAGACAGCAGTGCTCACTGTCTAACCTATAACTGGAGGTGAATGAGTTTCGAATACATTGGAGCCAAGCTTTGTTTACGTCTTTTTAAAAAAAATTCTTACTAATTGTTTGATGACATTATTTTCTTGTAATTTGTTTCTGATCTAAATTGAAGTGATGCAAATATATATGTGTGTGCATATATATATATATATATATATATATACATTTTTTTCCCTAACCACCAGAAATATTGCTGAGTTCTAGTTCATAGAATTTCTACTGGAATAATAATCATCAGTGGCCTGTCTCAGCCATGCAAAGAAACCCTACAAAGAGATGTGTGAGAAAAAAAGGAAACTGTTTTCCACATTCTTTTCTAGGAACAGACGATTGAGAGGCCTGGTCCATGGATGGGTTTGAACTGCCTTCAGGACTGAAGATGAGAGGCTCAGTTTCGCTAACAGTAAGGACAGTGACAAATTCTCTGCCCCGCCAAAGCCCTACGGTTCTTATGCAGGTAAAGCCTTCATGCTAAATGTTTGCAAGCTGACTCTTCAACAAGATTATGAGCTCCTTGAGACAGGAATTGGGTCTCTGTTCAGTGTATCACATCTACCCCAATGCTCTGCTTAGAGGAGATGTTTGAAAAATTTTTGTGGAACAAATAATCATCATCATCATCTAATTAAGATATACTGCCCTTGGGCCGGGCGCGGTGGCTCAAGCCTGTAATCCCAGCACTTTGGGAGGCCGAGGCGGGTCAAGAGATCGAGACCATCCTGGTCAACTTGGTGAAACCCCGTCTCTACTAAAAATACAAAAAATTAGCTGGGCATGGTGGCACGTGCCTGTAATCCCAGCTACTCAGGAGGCTGAGGCAGGAGAATTGCCTGAACCCAGGAGGCGGAGGTTGCGGTGAGCCAAGATCGCGCCATTGCACTCCAGCCTAGGTAACAAGAGTGAAACTCCGTCTCAAAAAAAAAAGATATACTGCCCTTGTTATGAGAAACTCTCTATCCCAAGGTACAGCAGGTGAGTTGTGGCATGTATTTTCCTTGTTCTGGACAAAGCAAAGCACTATGAAACCAAAAGGGCCAAAATCGACATGGGGGATTGTGTGCTCAGGAGGAGCGGGTGGGCTGGGGAGGGGAAGGCAGGAGGAGGAAAGAGCGCCCGAGTGCTGCAGAAACCTTGAAACAATCAAAGGCACAAATGCCTCTTCTTATAAACACACAGTATGAGACAGATGTTTACCCAGGACAATCTGGAGAGTAAAAGCCAGCCAAAGCCAGAGAGATTCATGCTCTGCAAACAAGGGATTTCCTGGGGGAAGGAGTGGCAGGTAATGGGTTCTACAAATTTCTCCTCCCGATAACTACATCACAGACCGAGTCCAAAGAGACCGTTCTTTCCTATTGAAACCTTATTTAAATACTGCCACCTATCTTGGGCAGAATCGCCGTCGTATTGGCTGGCTCAGGTTATTCTCTCAAACCTTTATGAAACACTCAAGGAAGAAATAGACAGCTGTGTCTCTGTGGGAGAAGGGGACACACGTCTCAGGGAATTTTCTTCCCAAAATGCGTCAGTAGTCAGTTCGTCCCAGTTCTGATCAGTGGCCTTCAAACGAGTAAAACCTGTAGAGAAAACAAGAGAGGTGCCTCTTTAAAACAGCAAAAATACCATTTGCACAGTGTGGATGCTTTTCAGCACATTTATTGTTATGTTATTATTAAAAAAAAAAAAAAAAAAAAAAAACCACCACAATAAAAGAGACTAACACTGTGGTTGCCTTTGTAATGACTTCGAAGTTGGTTCCCTCATGCTTATGCTCTCTCTTTCTGGGTTCTTTTCAGGCACAGCAAAGAGCTCAGGAATGGGATCAGGGATTTCAAACGCTGCTCCACACATGGCCACAGTTTTCTATGTGACTTTGGATGAATCAACCTCCTTTCCTGGGCCTCAGTTTCCTCACCTCTAAAGAGGTTGCATTCGAGTAAATGAACCTTGACGCTCTGCCTGTTCTGCAATGTCAAGTTTTTTCTCTAGGAGCAGGCATGGGTTTGTGCCCAGCTGTCTATTCCTATTCACCGTCTTACCAATACATTTTTTTTTTCTGGGAGGGAGGAAGGTCAGGATTTCTTGTATGAGGTCTTAAAACCAAGCAAATTCTACGGATCCATTTTTCCCAACTAACAGAGTAAACCATTCCTGTGTCAAATGTGACTGGCTGCGTGAAACCAGCAGACTCCGTAGAGTTCAGGCCTCAAGGCAAGAGCTGCTGATAAAAAAGATGTAGGTGATGGGGAGGAAGGCAGCAAATCACACTGCCACGTGTGTACCTATGAAAAAATTTTGCATGTTCTTCACATGTACCCCAAAACCTAAAATGCAATAAAATAAATAAATGGGGGAAAAAAAAAAGCTGGAGTATTTCTTTTCCGATAGTGGAGATTGGCTGTAGCACCTCCGTGGTGTCTAGACAGCCATTCTTGTCCCCAAAACCAGCCTGCATATCTCTTGGATTCAACCAGCATTTATTGAACTGTTACACTGTGCCACACACTGTGCTCAGCACTGGGAATATAAAGAGAACAACATCAGGCCCCCCTGAGCTTACAGCCTCATGCAGAAGCAAGGTCCTACACCAGAAATTCACCCCAACACAAGGTCACACCATGGGATGGCACCCTGGAATAGTGGCTTTAAGAAAATTTTATGAAAAGCTGAAAGTATTTCTCTCCCATGCTTATCTCTGAAAGAGGGGTTTTGTTTGGCAGAAATGGCATTAAGGCCAATGAGAGGCAGGACTGAGCCTTTGCTTGGAGAATGGCCAACCTTCCCTCCTTTCTCCACGGGGGCTTTTCACTTTCACACCCATAGCTGAAAGTTTCAGGAGCCCCTGCCCTTCAGGTGGGAGGGACCTGGAAGAAACAGCAATGGCCTCTGGACATTTCTGGCAATTTCCATGTGGCCTACTGTCAAATGTGGTGTGTGGTTGGGATAGGAAGACTGAGTACAGTTAGAGAGATACCATCTGGGGGCATGAACAGTGTTTGGGCATGACCTGGAGTGGAGACCAAGGAGGTGGGAGAATGGGAGGGGAGAATGCTCTGCTTTGGGTGGCCCTGGGCGGGGCTGGGTTGTCTGGGAGGCAGAGCAGGAAATGGCCCCAGGGCAGAGCCAGATTTATTCACTGTCTAGGCTTGGTCCCAGCCGGTTCTTTGCTGAGGCTTGGTAAATCCTCCAGTTCTGAAGTCATTTTTATTAGCGATTGCCTTTTTTTTTTAAGCTTTGAAAATGTGGTTGGACGAAAATGAAATTTCAGATGTGTGTGTCTCAGCATTGATTTTTCTATTTGTAATAACACACCCCGGCATATCTCCTTTGATATCAAGAGGATAAAATGTCCCTAACAGCATGCTCTCCATTCTGGGGTAATGGATAAAGCCTGTTTATGAGATGTCATTTATTCCACAATAGACAGTAAATAAAAGCCATTTCAAGCTTGGGTTAAATCAAAGCTTGTTCAGGATTTCAGCAGATTTGCAAATCACCTCGGGGACCTTCATCAGTTGCAGTTGCTGTTTTCCTCCTTGCTATTGACTCTCTCCCTCTGTCTGCCAAGCCTCTTGCTATCCTTAGCTGCCCTGAGCCCCTCACTGATTTGGAAAAAGACAACTGGCCTGGCTAAAGACCTAGCATGTCATTAAAAGTTCCTCCCTTAATTTGGGGAATAAAGCCTTTGACAGGCAGCAAGAAATTGAGGTTATAACAACAAAAGCCAGAGTGGCAAAGGGAAGGAAAAAAAGTTCTCAGGAAAATAAGATGCAAACCTGAAATGGAGAAAGCATCTGAAAGGCGGTGGCGGCGGCAGCTCCTTTGAGTCCTGTGCAGATTGTATTTCATTCACTTCCTGGGACCCTGAGCACTGGGGGAGGGGGAAGAAAAGGGAGGAGGAACCACCTGGAGTGTCCCTGTGCTAACCCAGGCTTCTGTCTTGCACATTCGAATTCCTGCCCTCCGATCCGACCTCTAACCCCTATGAATCCAGGCCTTCAGGACCCAGTTAAGTCCCAGGAAGCTGTATGGCCTCTCCCCTTTCCCTGGTCCCTCACAGCACGTTATTTGGAGTCTTTGACACGTTTTATCTCACCTTACTCCTGCGTGTTCTGGAGCGTGTGTATTGGCTCCACAAATGGCATGCAGATTCCTTTGAGGTCTGCGACAGACTTTTAAAGCTAGAAGAGTCAGTCCTGGGTCTCTAGATCAATTTTCTCTCCACTGTGGAACTCTCCTGCATGGTATCCCCAAAGACAGCAGCCCCTGCCTTCATGCCACCCAGAGCAGGGACTGCACAGATGGGAGTCTCTCGGTCTGGGAAATGTCTTCTTCTATTAAGCTGAAGTCTTCCATCCTGGAACCCCAGCTGCTCTTCAGATGCCAGCCTGCCTTCCACAGGGAGAATGAGTAGGCTGAGTCCTAACTCCCTACAACAGCATTTTCCTAGGTGACCTAGGGCCTGTCTCATCTGCCTCAACCACACTCCAGCCAGAGAGCTGATTTGGTTTCAATTTATCAATTGGCCATGAGAATCAGTACCCCAACATTTCCTTGGCTAGTGTAAACCTAACAATCATACCAAAAGTATTTCTCACTTAGGATATCTGTGTCATCATTCCCATTGAGTATTTACTAACAGTTTTGTAGAAAATAATATTCTAGGTCTTCGATAGGTTGTACTATTGTTCAAAAATATTAACTGGCCCTCCCTGTGAGTCTGCCTTATATGGGAGGATTATATATCCCTGTGCCTGTCGACCATTTCTAGCCATGAAATGTGAGCAGAAGTGGCAAAGTGCAGATCAACGGCTGAGCGTCCATGGGCATCTCACTCAAGTGAGTAAGAAACCCCTATTAGAGGCCAGGTGCAGTGGCTTGTGCCTGTAATCCTAGCACTTTGGGAGGCTGAGGGGGGCGGATCCCTTGAGGTCAGGAGTTCAAGACCAGCCTGGCCGAAATGCGAAACTCCAACTCTACTAAAAAGACAAAAATTATCTGGGCATAGTGGCGCAGCCTGTAATCCCAGCTACTCAGGAGGCTGAGGCAGGAATATCACTTGAACTCAGGAGGCGGAAGTTGCAGTGAGCTGTGATCACACCACT